GTTAATATCCAAAATATAAAGAACTCATACAACTCAATAGCAAAAAAATAAAAATCCACTTAAAAAATGGACAGAGGAACTGAAGCCGTTTTTCCAAAGAAGACATCCAAATGGCCAACTGATACATGAAAATGTGCTCGACATCACTAATCAAAGGGAAATGCAAATCAAAACCACAATGAGATATCACCTCACTCCTGTTAGGATGTCTGCAATCAAAAAGGCAAGAAATAAAACAATGTTGGAGAGGATGTGGAAAAAAGGGAACCTTTATGCCCTGTTGGTGGGAATGTAAATTGGTACAGCCACTGTGGAAAAGAGTGTGGATGTTCCTGAAAAAATTAAAAATAGAATTCCCATATGATCCAGCAATCTCACTTCTAGGTGTATATCCAAAGGAAATGAAAACAGGCTCTCAGATATCCATACTCCCATGTTCGTCACAGCATTATTCGCAATAGCCAAGATATGGAAACAACCTAAGTGTCTGTCAATGGATGAATGAATAAAGAAGAAGTAATACACACACACACACACACACACACACACACAGAGGAATATTATTTGGCCATGAGAAAGAAGGAAATCCTGCCATTTGTGACAACATGGATAGACCTTGAGGGCATTATGCTAAGTGAAATAAGCCAGACAGAGAAAGACAAATACTATGTGATATCACGTATATGTGGGATCTCAAAATGCCAAAGTCATAGAAACAGAGAGTAGAGTGGTGGTTACCAGGGGCTGAGGTGTAGGAGAAATGAGGAGATGTTAGTTAAAGGGTACAAACTTCTAGTTATAAGATAAATAAGTTCTGGGGATCTAATGTATAGCATAGTGATTCTAGTTACTAAGACTGTATTATATACTTAAAAGTAGCAAAGAGGGGCCGGCCCTGTGGCTTAGCGGTTAAGTGCACGCGCTCTGCTACTGGCGGCCCAGGTTCAGATCCCGGGCACGCACCAACGCACCGCTTGTCCGGCCATGCTGAGGTGGCATCCTACATACAGCAACTAGAGAGATGTGCAGCTATGACGTACAACTATCTACTGAGACTTTGGGGAGAAAAGGGGAGGAAAAAAAAGAAAAAGTAGCAAAGAGAGTAGATCTTAAATGTTCTCACCACAAAAAAGAAATGGTAATTGTGTGCTGGGATGGAGGTTAACCAATGCTATGGTGGTAATCATTTTGCAGTATGTAAGTGTATCAAGTCAAGACATTGTACACCTTAAACTTGCACAATGTAATATGTCAATTATATCTCAGTAAAGCGAGAAAAAAAACTTTAGAAACTTCTGTATAATTATGTTGAGAAGAACGGGATGGAAGAATGAGTGTACTGGGGAGTTTAGGCTTAGTAAGGGCACTAAACCTGCATCTTCCATTGTGGGAACTCAGTGGACGATATCTGAAGCTGAAACATCAAGAAATAGCAGTAAGGGGACCGGCCCCGTGGCCGAGTGATTAAAAGTTCCGCACACTCCGCTTCGGCAGCCCGGGTTCACAGGTTCAGATATTGGCCACAGACCTTCACCACTCATCAAGCCATGCTGTGGTGGTGACCCACATACAAAATAGAGGAGGATTGGCACAGATGTTAGCTCAGGGCTAATCTTCCTCAAGCGAAAAAAGAGGAAGATTGGCAACAGATGTTAGCTTAGGGCTAGTCTTCCTCAGAAGAAAAAAAAACTAGCAGTAAGAACATGTAATTTAGAAGTGTGGAGTTGAGTTCCAGAAGACACAGCTCAAAGATTATCTCTAGGGAGAGAAAATTAAGGATGGGGAAGAAAACTGCTGTTTTTCCTGTGAAGCCTCGTGGTGCTATCTGACTTTTTAAGATATGTCACTTATTACTTTGATAAAAATAAATTAATTTAAAATGAAATACAAGCTTTATTTTTAGCATGACTATTTCATTTATTAAAGAGTTCTGCTTTCTTTTTGACTTTGTGCCTAATTTTGAAACCTCAAAGATTTTCCTTATCTCAAGGTTGACTATTCTTTAATCTCATGTTGTAGCCTGTATGCAGGGTGAGGATTAAATATAGCCAGAGTGCATTCATCTTTGTCATTCCTTTAAGCGCTAAGAGGATTGAAGAGTTCATGCAAAGACTCAAGTACCAGCGTAAGGACAAGCTGTAAAATCTCCCTTGTATAACCATTTGCTTAAAGAGGGGTCCACTGCGACGTGATAGGAAAGAACTTGGAGAAGGGACACTTGAGGCACGACTTCATCGTTCTCAAAGATACAAAAGATAGTTTCCAGCTGCTCCAGATTCACCGAGGAAGAAGTGAGGAAATGCATTCACAGCAGACCCTAAGGAATTTAGGTAGGAGACACATGAATTTCCTAACCCTGACAAGAATTGCTGAGGACAGCTAAAGAATCCTGTTCTTCGTAACAAAGACAATTTCCCTTATCTGTAGGATTGGAAAGATGAACCTTACAGCTTCTTCACAGCCCTCCCAACTCCATCTTGCAGTGATTTTGCCGAAAGAAATTTCAGGAAAGGACGCGGTCTCTGCAGGAACCACACAGTGCTCCTTCGCTCGGGACCAGATTTACATTGGAGGCCATCCATCCCGTGCAGCCTGGTCTGTGTCCTGGAGCCTCAGCACAAAATTAATTTTCCATACTATTTGAAGAGTTCTTAGTGAGCAGTGGGCTGGATCTAACTAGAGCTAAAACTTGCCTCTAGGACTCTGAAGTTGCTTGCTTGGCCTTAGGCTCTGTTGTCCGAGGGACTGGTCGTTGCAAAACAGTACTTTTATACCATGACCCAGTGGTGCTACAGGACTTGGATGGATGGGACCGTTAAACCCTTTGCCCAGCAACTTGAGTTGATGCTATATTCTAGGGCCCTGGCTTTGTGGCCGAGTACCTTTAGCACTCAGGGTAGCCACAAGTTTAAAAGAAGAGGGAAGCTGGCCTTGTGGGGCAGATCGTGGAGTCACTACTCGCTCACACTGTCTAGGTGTTCGTTACTGCTACCATCCACAGAGTCAGGGTGGAAAGTGCTCAACATGCGGTACTTCCTAGAGACAGATGAGTGAGCCTGACTGGAGGCCCCAGCCTCCCTAGCCTCCTAATAAGCTCATCACTGAGTCCCCCAGTATGCCCAGTACTGCACCGCCATCCCTTAGGCCAATTCTCAAAATATGGCGAAGTCCAGAGATAAGTATTATTTCAAGCCTCACCAGCTATCATCAGATCCTCTTCCTAAAGGCAGGTTTTGCTGGTTGTGAAGGGAACAGAGATGAAGGCCCCAGCTGCATACACAGCAGGGCAGGGATGACAGGGTGATAAAGGTGGGGCCCTCAAAGACATTCCACTTATTTAACCTTTTTCTGTAGGGTGGTGTCTTGTTTTCAGGGCAAGATTGAGTGACTCCCGGCATTGTGAGCTAGCCCGGGTTTAAAGGACCTTCTTTTCAAGTTCTCTCTCTCATCATGTGATAACTCAGCTTCTGGAACCTCTGCATCTTCTTCTGACGAAGCCCTGGAGAGCCTGGAGTCATAGCCAGGACGTGTCATGGAGCAGGGCCATCCAGACAGTGTGGACGTTCCTCTGCCTGAAACGGTTAATCCCATCACAGCGAAACCTGCTCAGAAAGCTGAGGCCTAACCCCAGACTCCTCTAGAGGAGCAGACCCCCAGGCCCGCGTGCACAGGGGCCTAGGAATCATTTGTCTCCCTGCCAGATGGAAAGCAGGCGTTGTCCTCTTCTGCCTGCATCGCCTCTTGAGCACCGTAATAAGTTCTAAGGCACATAAATCTCCTAAATGGAAAAGTAAACAGTCTTCCTTTAAATTAAAAAAAAAAAAAAAACTGAGTAAAGGGAAAAAATGTGTCAGATTTTCCTAGCCCGTGCTATTCTAGTTGATCAGATCACAATGAATTCATATCAGCAATAGCTTTGCTGGTATTTCCTATTTTCAGTAATATTGAGTTGAAACACACGTCGCCCTTTTGTGGGACAAGTGGATTTCAGTTGTTCTGCTCCCAATATTACTTTCATGTTCTCTTTTCCTTCCTGGATGATTTAAGTAACAGCAAAATACAGCCATTGCCAACTCTTGAAACATTTCTGTCTGCATTCCTTTTCCTCCCTCAAAACCGAGGCTCTTGTCAAACCTTAATTCATAGTGACTTATTAGCAACCAGAGCAAGTTGTAGAATAATCCATTATGAAGAAACCAAGCTTCACTTGGAATCAGTGAAGTGCCTTCTCGGAAACGGCTTCATTTTCTAGAACTGGCATCAGTGGGAATTCAGAGGGTCAGCTGAGGGGTTGTATCAGTCCTCCCTCCTTTGTTTTATCTTTCAGTTTTGGGGTAGGGCAAAGTCTGTGCCCATTCTGTTCTCTTTCACTTTTTATCTAGGCTTGTGAGACTGACTTTTGCGTTCTTGGGAGCTGTGTCATGACAAGTCCAGTAAATGATTCACACTGAGGTGACCTTTAAAGAGCAGAGTAGGAATCAGCTGGATTTCAGGAGCCTAGAGCTGTGCATAAACCAAAACTTTCTGTTCCTTCCCTTTAAGCTGGAGGTCACTGTTACCTCTCTGGCTGCCGGTCCTGGTCATGTGATTTGGTGGTGTTTTTAACCTGCCAGTATTTACATATGCTCATGTGTAATTTAAACCGTGGAGATTATTATATAATTATACTTCTGAAAATGAAAATGAGATTAACAGACAACTTAAAGGATTGGTGGAGGGGTAGGTGTTATAAAGAGGGAAACTTGTTTATTTTAACTCATTAGTATTTTTTTTTAGTTTTCTGTTCTATGTTTGTAGCATTGAGTGCCACCAAAAGGAATTAACTTAGTCCAAGACATAATTTAACCTTAGCTACCAAGGAGTATAAAAATTTTGCCAAATGCTTATTGCCTCACTGCTTTATAAATTGTTAGTGCCGTTGATGATTTGGACCAGAGAGAAGTTTTTCGTTTCTTTTTAAATAGTGTTTTGTAAATGCCCTCTTTTTTTCCTATTCCCAGAAATAAAAAGGACCCTCCTGATCGGCCAATCCTTTCATCTCTCTCCATACTTTTCTGCTACCATCAAGGAACAGTTGTAAAAGGGTCACTTGTAATCACCTTGGTGAGGATTCCAAGAACCATTCTCCTGTACATTTATAACACTCTGAAAGAAAAGGTGAGGCAGCACCTTAACACAGAGGGCAGTCTGTTCGGGTGGCAGAAAAGTCCATCACTGGAAAACTACAGCAGCTCTGGGGACAGGAGTGTGACGTGTGACAGTGGCATTCGGAATGTTCTTCAGGTCCCATGCCCTCACCCGACCTCCACCCCCACCCCAGCAAACTTTTTGTCCCCAGTCTCTGTTTTGTTTATAGTTTAGTTTGTTGGGTTTTTCGCTAAGACAATGGTGGAGGTGCGGGGAATAGTTCTGAGTTAGCTGGTTTTCCTTCTTATTTAAATGCCGAACAAATGGGAGGAATTCTTCAGATGAAACTTAAGTTTTTGTGGACATGTGTCATGCTTTTTTAAAAAGTAAGAAAATATACTACAAGATAAATGTAATATTTGTTTGTTTCTGTTTTAATGCTAAAATATTCCTTGCCTTTGTGTTTCCTAGAGGGTTACTGGAAGTGACGGGGGGGGGGGGGGGGGGGGGGTTGCACACACACTTAAGAGGGAGAACTAGGCAAGCTGACCTAAATCTCAGTTCAAAAGACAGAAAACTGAAGGGCTTTTGTGCTTGGGGGTTTTTCTCCTCCCTGGTTTTTATTTCCATGCACATTTGGTTATGAATGCCGGTGGAAACCAGAACACCAGGAAAACAGCTGTTCTCATGGTATTTCTGGCCTGCCAAACAAGGGAAGGTTGGATTTTTCCCAACTTTTCTGTTCTCACACAGTGTTAATCTCTCCTCTGTCCCCACCTCAGTATTGGTGACTTGGTCAGAGTTTCACATACTTACCTGATTCCCACCTTTTGGGTATAAGTATGTGTCTTTAGTAAATTGGGGAAATTTTACATGTGGATTCATTATCATATTTTAGAGTTGCTTTTATTTACCCTTTTAAACATAAATCTGAATTGTTGATATTTTTAAGTCCATAATGAAGATTTAAGATTAGTATATCAGTTAGGAACAATTGATTGAATTTCACATAAAATTTTCTAGCTTCCTTATCTTGAAATGCATGGTAAGCAGTTGCTCCTGATCATAGAGTATTTACTTGTATTTCTATTGAAATATTGCCTTGTGGATACCAATTATGTGCCCACATTAAAAAAAAATCAAGTTTAACTTTTTTGGAAATAAATCCTATAGTGAGACTATCAGGGCTAAATTTCAAGGGATTACAAAATATATACATTTTAGTGACTTAAGGAGGCATTTCCACATCCAGGCCAAATCTAGCTACTCTGGCTCCTGCATTTTGAAATTCATCTTTTAATTTTAGGAAACTTGGAGAAGGATTTCTTGACGAACAGAATAGCTTTTTATTTTAAGTATATTCATATATAATATATATATGCATTAGTAATAGATAATCATAAATTAATGAGCAGTAGAGGACCTTGCTGTTCCTCCTGGAGCTAGGCGGCTTACTCTAGGGAAACTGCCTTCCATAAATCTAAGATGTCGGTGGGTCAGGCTCTCTGACAGAGATCTGAAAGTTTATTTATCACTCCCCAGATGCCATAAGGACCAAGGGGCCAAACTCCCTGTTAGTGATGTCACTGTTAGAGAAATGTGTCCTTTCTTAGGTTAAAAAGAAATGGTCTTCCTCAGCAGCCTTACCACCCCGTAGTACTGTGTCTACAATTTAAACATTTCACACAGCCGCTGCAGGATCTTTCCTACGTTAAATGGCTCATTCACAACCACCGCCAGGCTGAAAAGTATCCAGATCAAGTTTCATCCAATTGAATTAACATTGGGACAAGAAAATGTCCATATAAGGCTGAGTTATTCCTGGGGTCCTCATGGAAGACTATTTCAGGATTGTTTTCAGGGCTTTTTTTTTTTTTTGACTCGGGGCGGTGGGTAGGACTCATTCAATCACCCCTCCTCCAAGAGTTTCATTAAATTATTCACTCGAGTTACACAAGATCCAAGTTAAATTTCAAAGGACTAATTTATCCCTTGAAATTTAGCCCTAAAAGTCTTAATGATAGGATTTATTTCAAAAAAAGTTAAACTTGATTCTTTTTTTATGTGGGCACACAACTAGTATTTACAATGCACTATTTATTCTGTCTTTGGGATGTGAATTTTTCATGAATATAAACTGGTTTGAAAAAGCAAAGTTTATCATTGAAGCCACTTAGGGTAAGATGAAGAGGGAAGAGAGATTTGTTTTACTAGAACCAGAGGCCTAGTTTACCTTGGCTAGTAAATATAGACTAACCAATTCCCTTTCTGCTGAGGTCAACAGCAGTCAAAACAGGTGAGCCCACAAGAGAGAAACTTCACTCACCTGTAATAATAATAATAATAATTAGTAATAATAGCAAAATAATTAGTAATGTGCAAAATAGAGGAACTTCTCCCACACTGAATGAGAATTGCTACAGTGCTTCCCCAGGTGCGTAAGTCTCCAACGAGAAACAGTGTTTGTCCACAGAAATTGCCTGCTTACTTCTTTCCTATGTTGCTTCTGACTCTGTTCCTTTGTTCTGAACCTGATCCCAGCAGCGCAGTGCATGGTCGAGGTGCGCGTTCAAATGTTGCTTCTGCTGTTTCTGGTGTCTTGACAAATGCCTGTGCCATCTCAACCAGGTATGTCTCCTACCACGTGCGGCAGGGGCACACAGAGGGTCTCCCCTCTGGTGGGCTCCATCTCTTAGATCAGGGATTGGCAGATTTTTCTGTAAAAGGCCAGATTGTGTAAACATTTTAGGCTTTTGGGCCATTCAGTCTCGGTCACAGCTACTCAACTCTGCCATGGTAGTGGGAAGGCAGCCATAGACAAAATGTAAATGAATGGGCATCACTGTGTTCCAAGGAAACTTCATTTATGGGCACTGAAATTCAAATTTCATATAATTTTCACATTGCAAAAAATGTTCTTCTTTTCATTTTTTTTCAACCATTTAAAAAAATGTGGAAATTATTCTTAGCTCCAGCCAGAGGAAAGCAGGCTGTCTGATGGACTGGCTCCTGGGCTGTAGTTTGCAGACCTTACCTTAGAACCTTAGGTCATGAAAGCCATTCTTCAAATTCTGAAAGCAATGTGTTCCTCTTTTCAGAAATAAAAAGGGGAAGAGGCTTTAGAAACCCTAGCATAATGAATATATATCAACTGAGAGCTCATTTTCAATGTCTTCTCCAAGAACTATAATTTTCCTGAAATAGGAAAAGAATTGCCTCCCTAATTTTTATATATTTCACCAGACTTTCCCTTTCAAGCTATAAATATTCCTTTAAAAATCAGAAAAATTATATGCTGCGATTGTTTGAATTTCAAATTTTTCTCTCTCCTGAGTCTTTCACATTGATGGAAATTTAAATATATGTTTTATTTTTCTGTAGATAATTTAGTAAATTTTGATAGCCATTAGTCAAATTTACACAAAGCAATATTTTTGTAACTCAGCAGGCTGTGTTATCATTTAAACATCTACAGAAATCTCACTTAGAAAAGTACTTCTTGTCATTGCCCCCTTCCTAATAAAGGTACCAGTAGAAGTAAAGGGACTAATTAGACCATCCATGTTTAATGTCTTATAAGTATATTAAGGATACCTTTCATTGTTCGGGAGGAAGTAGTCATCTTATAGTAAAGCTCTATTTTTAAGGCTCTTGTTAAGAATCTTGGAGTACATTTCAGAGTGTATTGAGTTTTCATTTGGGTTGCTTCAAGCCAGCATGTATAAAATATGGTAACATACCATAGCACCTTTCAGAATGGTGGGTCATAGAGCAAGTCAAGCCAAACCCTATGAATGTCTTGTCGTGGTGTAATATGCCAGCCTCTCTCTTCCTAGAACTGTGTGCACATATCCAGGCACCAACTTCTTCCACCAAGATTTTGAGATGCATTATAAAAATGTACTAACTATGATAAAATATACATACAATGAAAATCAAGGCTAAGAAACAGACAGATAGACTAGAAAGACAAAAGCAATGGGACAGTTGATATCCAAATATGTTGGCCATGTGGTCCTACAAGGCCCTAGAGTTGAGTTGCTTTCCCCTCACCGTATTGTGTAAATTAAGGTTCTTTCTGTGCCCCTCTGTCACTGGTAGTTTTCCAATTGCCGCCATGGAAGCCTAGGGGCTCCTTGTGGGTGCTGCAGGGGCCACCTCTTCAGGAGGGGAGAGAAGTGGGGGAGGAGGAGGAAGAGTGGGCTCTGGCTCCATAGCACCACCACCCTACCTGCCTTCCCACCAGAGCAGCTCCACTTGTATCTGGTTTAGGAGTGGGAGTCCACTGAAGGTTTCGTCTGAAGATAGGATTCTGCTGCTAAAACACCTTTGAAAACCATTGTCTCATACCATGTTCATGTTTGTTTTCTCTGCCCTGTCTTCCTGAAGGACATATTTTCTGCATTCTGAAATTTCACCACCTTGTATTAACCCTTACAAGATCATAAGTAGTGTTAGTACTAACCACACTACAATTACCATTAGAAAGGTGAGGAACTCATCACAGATGTACAGTGGGAGTGATTGTCCCTGAATCTCGAAAAGGCTCAGCTGACTTTGATCTAGCTCGTAGTGAATCAGTGTTGCAACAGGGATAGGTCCTTTGGATTCTGATCATGGTGCTGGTGCACTAGGCCTTGGCCTAAACCAGCCGTCAGAGCATCTTTAGCTTGGGGTGGCTCCTACAGGACTAGGCAGTGCCAGCTGATGTGGGCACTGCTGGGAGGCCTCAGGTTTAGGAGATTGAGAAAGAAGAGGAGGAAGGATGGAAAAGAAAGAAAACGAATTGATGTGAACATTGATGGAGAGGGAAAGGTCACCTCTAGTCTAAATCAACTACTGGAAAGCAGAGCGACATAAAGATTTTTAAGGATAGTTATTGTATCGTGGTGGGCAGAGTTATGGTTGATCTCATTTGGCTGTGGGCAAAGGAAAGTGAGTTTAAAGGGAGAGAAGGAATTTAGATTAACCTTTTGAAAAATTTCCTGGCACTGGAATGAGTTACTAGGGGAAGATTTCTCTGGAAATCAGATTTAAAATAGCTAAGGCCTATTTTATTTCCTTGTTTTGTGCAATAGGAGCTAGGAAATGCTCAAAGAGAATGAGATCCATTTGTTACCATCAGAACCCAGATGCTCTTCTTTACTTAACATCAAGGAGCTGGTTGTGTCTCACCATTGCTGCTGAGAAGCCTCATCTGTCTTCACTAGTCCTGGGAGGGCGGCAGGTGGCAGTTGGTGCATTTGGTAGACAGCCAGCCTAAGGCTGCACAGTAATTCACTGGCAGAGAGGGGGTAACCCCACATCTCCTCATTTCTCATTACTTGTCTCTCTATGTCATAAATTCCAAGTGTGTACATACCTTAATAATAGATGTGTACATCTCACACATTTGTTTATCCTGCAACTATCTGTTTATTTATGCTGTATTCCAACCATTTGAACCCAGGCGTAATGGGGGAGGGGGTCCGTGGTGAAACAGAATCAATATAGAGCAAAGCCAGGCCTTCCAGGAACTGACAAGCTAGTTGGGGACTGGGGAACAGTGTGAGACATTTATATACCAATACAGAGAAGTGCGTGTTTCAGTGCTGGCATGAGGGCTGTGGAAGTTCAGGAAAGGGGAATCTTGGTAATTGGGGAGGTACTTTGACTTGGTAATTGGGGAGGTGTCATAGAAGAGGTGGGATTTGTCAGAGCTGAGCGCAGAGCACCCACTGGAGGTCACCAGCTGATAACAACAACAACAGTTGCTGTGGCACTTGGCACTCCCTGTCCTGCCGGTTGTATACTAAGTTCCTGCATTGTATCAGTTGTGAGTTCTCACTGCAGCCCTTTGAGGTACTATCTCCAATTTACAGATGAGGAAACTGAGCCTTAGAGAGGGCACAGAGTTAGTGGCGGAACTACAATTTGAATCCATATCTCTTTTGTCTCCAGGACCCAAGCCCTTAACCACTATGATTTTTAAACAGCCAGAGAGGGAGTCACAACCGCTGTCTGGGGGGATCCCTTCAGCGCCCGTCCAAGCCGGGGCCCAGACGGGTCCGTTCACTGGCAGCTGAGCAAGGCTTGTTACAGGCAGATTTATGTGGAGGAGAACTGGAAAGGTGTAGGGACATTGAAGGGGGTGAAGGATGAATCATGCGTTTATAGATCCAGAAAAGGCTTGGTTGGGAAGTTGGGGCCCACCTCCTCCCCTCAGGCAAGTCAATGACAAAGCTTCTGGGAGGCCAGGCTGGCTGTTCTCAGAGATTTTCAGGCAAGGAGGTCCTGCGGCATCCCCCTCCCTCCCAGCATTTTCCAGAAACCTGACTGAGAAGTTCCCCTATGGGCCTCTGCAAGCTAACCCATCAGCAGGAATGACGTGCCTCTTATTGTTTCTTACATGTCCACACACAGTTCTTTTTGGAAATGTCTCCCTAAGTGCACATCTCGCATCCACTGAGAACACAGACGTCTGTTCCAGCTCTGATGCTGGTTTTAGATCAGTGTTCCTCTAGGTTTGAAACCCGCTGGTGGGCCACAGGACTCTTCCTGATGGTTCCAAACTGATCTGAACATTCCAGAGTGTCTTTTCTTTAATTCTTATAGGCAAATGGCAGAATGTCCTGGATTTTCATTTTCATGTACAACTAAGGGCTATTTACCAATCAGTAAAGTACACAGTGTGTCACTAGGGCTTACTAAAACGTGTTATTTATGAACCAAAATTGGTGTTTTACTTAGTTTCCTGAGGACTCAAATTCATTATTCTGTTAAGACGTCTGGCTGCCAAGGCGATGCCTGGCAACCCTGAAAAGCTGCGCCTGTGCCCGTGCAGAGAGCTGGGATTTTACAGACTGCGGCAGGAATACTTTGCTCTGGGTCTACCACCAGAGTTGAGTTGGCTGTGTTGTTCAACTGCCGTTATTCTTGTCTTAATTAACATTTTACTTTGTTGATTATGTGGCTCCTTTAATTTGTCATTTTTTTATCATGTTGAGCATTGCATTCCTCTTCAAGCCTTTGTTCTTCCAGCAGAAGTGGGAATGGGTGCGGGAAGTGAGCTGTAGGCTGAGGTCGAACAAGTCTGAGAAGGACTATTTCCGCTCCGGTCTGCTGGGAGCGGCTCCCAGGCAAAGGTGTAGCAGCAGTGGGCTTCTGCCTCCTTTGTGGAACTTGGGTGAATCCCTCCACCTTACTGAGCTTCTGCAGAATGAGGGGGTCGGCTTCAATGGCCCCGAGGTCCTCATGCGGCTTTCCGACGCTTGTCGTGGTGCCCAGCTGAGAGCTGGGGCATGTGGGTACCAGGCTGCTACATCGCAGCCGTGACACTTTGTGTGGGACATAGGGCAGAATGGAAAAAATGTGAACTGTGTGTTTTCTTGTCGTGTTCCAAATGACAGGATCATGCTTTTCACATTGTACTTCTTACTCATAGTGAGGGATCACAGACATCAGCGATGTTTTATGTGGCCCCATCTCGAGCCTCCAGAATCTTGTGGAGTGGACTGAGAATGGGAGCGGACAAAGAGGAGACGCCTTTCTGCGTCCCCCTATGGCGATTCTCCCAATGCTGCTGCCACATAATGGTAACAACAAATAAATAAAACAACCTGTGACGAGATTCTGGTAAAATGCCAGTC